AATCACTCGTGATAAAATCCATGAAGTGATTCAAGTGAGCGTGGGTTTAATCCAATACTCAAATATTATTTCAGGAGTACTCATGAACAATGTTGCAGACTTTTGCTATGTCTAAGACGCTTTAGACAATCTACATTCGGATTCATGACAGTCTTCTTTCATACCTACTTCCAAAGTATGATCGACTGTGGAAGGTTTGAATAATCTTATTATTCGGGAAGTCAAAACATGCAAAGTGAAACACAAGAATAATACTAATCCTATATGGCCCCAAACTTTTGAGTATAAATAAAACACCTTTATTTAATCACCATATTGATTACTCATTATTGTTCTCTCCGTTAATTAATATGCAATCCAAACCTTGAACTAGAAAAAGATGAAGACACAGGCCTATCACAGACCTGCAATCCAAAAGCATCACAAACGCCATTGACGATAATGACACATCACAAACCTGCAATTCGAACAAAACTATCTTCATCTAAACCACCGATCCAATCCAAAAGCTTAACTATCTTCATCTAAACCACCGAACAGAACATGAATTTCTTGGATGCGGGAAGATAGCAGTCGGCGAGTCCATAGCTTGGAGAAGATGAAAAATGAAACAGATAGAAGAATGTTTTGAAACAGATAGAAGATGAAAAATGAAACAAATAGAAGACCTATGTTGATGAAAATGGAGTATGAAATCGTTGGAAGTGGAAGAAATTTTGAGGGTGTAGAGGGTTAAAGTTTCCCACATCGTTGGTGGGATAATAGACGACATAAAACATATTCTATAAAAGGGGACCCGATTCCTTTGAAAATAGAACCCAGTTACGCTTTGGGCTAGCTTGCTCCTTTGAGCCAGCAGTTCCATAAGAGCTATTTGGTCCGATTTAGAGTCCGAGTTGGCCCGATTTAGACCGGTTTTGACCGATATTGACCAAAGCCGATAAACTTAACCCTCTAATCCTTATTCGTAGGCAGTTGGAGGCTGTCAAGCGTCTAGGCGCCGATTAATCGGCCGCCTAGACCGATTTTTGCAACCATGATATATATATATATATATATATATATATATATATGATAACAGATTTATTTGTTTACTAAACCCCTTTGGCCCCCATGGTTTATTATAATTTATATGTGATTGAAAAAATTATTCAAATATGTTATTAACTCTAAATTATCTGAAAATCAGTTATATTTGATTATTAGGCCTGATAAATCAGTTCTAACAGAAGCACAAAAATTTGCTAAAAACCTCGATTCTAATAAAATTAGGATACTAATCTTTAGGAAATTAAAACTCTATAAAAAACGAAACAACAAATCAAACATTGAACTTATTATCTTAATCAAGATCAATTATTGAGAAATACAAAAACTATATTAAAAATCATCACTTTGCTTTTGTCGGATAACATACCCACCACCGGAGTGCTCATCTCAATCGACTTTCGCATGGAAAAACATATCTATTGAATTCTGAGTCTTTGAATGACTACCTCCCTTGCTGACTTGTGTTTCTCTGACCAGCCACCGCATTGCTAACTTCCATGTTTCCGAAAACAGATCGTTGTAGTAGCCGCCACGGCCAGAGTGCTAGCCACTACATATATCCTTTCCTTTCCGACTTCTGTGTCTCCGACCAGTGATGGATCGACCTCCGACCAACATCAGCGACTCTCCAATCTGCTCATATTGGCCAAATCTGTAAGCTTTTTGGTTCTCTCTCCTTTTGTCTTTGTCTTTCTCTCTATAATATGATTTGTTTAAACTTAAAGAAAGAGATATACGAATATAGCTCTCAAAAATAAAAGGCTACACCTTTACTTACTTGTATAATATTATGTAACTATTATTTATTGTTTGTTGATCCCATAAAAGCTTTTAGAATAGTTAAGCGGAGTCGATTAGTTTCTTATTATATACGGTCATAGGTTCACTGTTATTTTTATATTATTAATTTTCAATTATTTGTTCACTAGTCTAAATCAAAATGAAAAAACAAACACTTTGATTTTAAAAAGAAAATATGAAAGGGAGCTTGCATAAAAGTGTATCTAAGAAACAATTGTGTAAGATTTTAAAGAGCACAAAAAATCAATGAATTCCACTTTAACTAGTGGTGTTAGAATATTCATATTAAAATATTTTTTGTTTGATTTTTATATATTATGACGTTTAATCGAATTAAACTTGTTCATATGGTTTTTTAATGCTTTGGTTTCGGCCTTCGGTACAACTACTCGTGTTACGTCCTGTTTGTATCTTTAGACCTAAGATTCATATTTGGGACTTGAGTGTAGGGATTACTATATTTTGATATGGGAATGATGTTCTTTGATTAGCCAATTATAAATAGGGATGAGCATATGGGGGGTACCCGCCTCATTTGATGAGAACCGGAACCGGCGGTTTCTAGAAAGTTAAAACCGAAATCGGACCCGTCTAGGCAGTTCTTAAATTTTTAAAACCAAGGCAGTTCTTAAATTTTATTAACTTTTTTCAATAAAACTACAATTTAGTACACAGTCCACATCGAATTAAATCGGATCAAAGACAAGATTTTCTCTGTTTATGTGTTAATAGTTAGAAATCTAAGACGTCTATCTTTACAATAGACGGCACTACCCATATCTCATGTTCAACATCGAAATATATATGACAAGGGATAACTCACGATCCATCTAAACCATATTTGGGCTCTGTTACTTGATGTCTATGTAAATACATCATGCATGATTCATGAATCATGATGAAGTTGAACATAACAAAGTAGACCTACAAACATAATGCATAACAAAGCATATTTCATGAACTTGAAACATCATTAATTAGTTACATAACGTTAACTAAACAAGTAATCATATTAAGCAGCAGTTACATTATGATATATACCTTACTAACTAAGGTTTACATATTATTACTCCGTATATACCATACAAACAAACATTGTACACCAACAAGAGCAACAGATGAAAACAAAAATGACACAAAAAAGTGCAATTAATATAATCGATCACCGGGACATTTTGTTGTGAAGGGTTACCAGGTCCAAAGTAGACCCAAATGATCTGTTGAGAACATCCGCAGACAACCCATTTCCATCATCAGCAGTCGGCATTCTCACTTCAAGTGGGGGAACCACCGGATTCTGTTCTCCGGGCATTAAAACCCCAACCATGACTCTCAGCATATTCGAAGCATCAATGTCCATACACACATTAATTTCGGGTTTCCCTCTGGGAGCCAAAGGTATCCCTACAACCTTAAAATACCCCAACAGATAGTTCTTATCCACTACCTCCTCATCACCCTCATACACCACAATCAAGGCCTCAGTCTGGTGGTCATGGGCGGTAGTAAAAACCACCTCCCTCCTGGCGGGCATAGTGGTGTTCCGAGCTATAATAGGTACAAAACTGTCCCTATTGGCTCGGATCCCAATGCTGTGTGCGTTCACTTGAATGGTTAGAAGATCTAAACTCCCGAGAGGATCATTGACACCAGCCGCCAGTGCTCCTTCCAGTGCCGCCCCACGAACTGCCGCTTCTAACGGGTTGATACCCGGGTAGATTTTGTTTTTTTTACAGATACCCATCACCATGTTCTTCACTTTTGGGATATTGGTACAACCGCCAACAAGAATCACATCATCGATATGTTCTACGTTCACCTTTGAGTCCTGCAAACAACGTGTAACCAAAGAAGCACATTTTTCAAAAACCTCTTTGTTGGCTTCTTCAAACTCCTCCAAATCAATGATTTTGCATATTTTTATTCCGTTTCCAAGGTCAATATCGATTTGGACTCTGGATTGAGATGACAGCTTGTGGATTGCGTCCTGTGCTGCGACTCGAAGAATGCCCATTGATTTTATTTTATTCGGAAACAGATTCTCCATATCGGGTAAAAGATAGTGCATCGTATTTTGAAGCAAGTCCTCCCCTCCTACGGTGCTACCCGCCAAGCCCTTCATTTGCGACACTCCGCCGGCTGTCACAATTATAGCCACATCCGAATACCCCGCACCCATGTTGAATATCAGAGCAACCTTTTCACTACCACTATCATGTACAGACAGCTGCCGCTGCTGTTGGGCATATAACAAAGCAACTGCAGCTGGTTCAGGCATCAATCGAACAACATGGAGACCAGCCATGGCACAGGCCCGACTAATTCTTGTTAACTGAAACCGACTAAATGCAGCGGGAACAGTTAACACAACGTTTCTCACAGGTCGTTTCACCCCAACTTCTGCTAAAGCTTTTAGTTCTACAAGATATATGGCAAGGACTTCTTCTGGGGTGGTTGATCTCCACATGTTGTTTACCAATGCTGCAATGAATGGTTTTACACCGATTCCCAAAGTTTGGATGAGAAAAGGTAAAGTCTTGCTAGCTTGAGAGACAATGGGGTCGGTGTCGATTCGACCAATTAAGCGTTTCATGTTGAAAACAGAAGACCCTGATAACATTTCATATTCATGGGATAGTTGATCACTGACTCCACCTACGGGGGATTCGTCTCTGAAGGTCACATATGATTTCATCAGTTTTTGGTTTCTTGTATTCCTGATAAGCTCTACCTGAGAACCGTTCCAAACTGCAAGACTACATTGAGAGGTACCGATATCGATACCAATTGCAATTTCCGGAAAAGGGGCTGATGATCTTTCGTCCCCAGTCGTATCGCTATCAGATGCCACAGTGTATACTTGTTCTTGACTCATTCTGCCAATTGATTTGAATCTTGGTTAGTGGAATAAGTTCACGGGTTAGGATCAAGCGCATGGGAAATGTTTCATTAAATTACTATCACAAACAAGTATCTCTACTTTAATTATAATATTGATATTTTTTTGAAGAATAGCAGACGCATAAAGATTTATCATCATCATAGTCATAGTCAAGGGTTTCAGAAAAATAAATCAGGCTTTTCAACAAACACCTGGCAGCTATACTAGTTATTATGTATAAATGGAAGAGTAAATGGATACAACAAGTAAAGTGACAGAAAATTATTGAAGATTATAATTAAAAAAAACCTTGTGTAAACAGAATAAAGATTATATAGACAAAAACAATCCAACTCCAAAAATTTCAAATTTTGTGTTACATTCAATTAAAGCTGTACATGCAAAACAACAACAACAAGAAGAAAACTGTTGGAGGGAGTGACTTACTGTCCTGGGCGAGAGATTAATGATACTAATCTGAAGTAGAATTATGGAAGGAAAATGCGAAAAAAGGTATAGGATGTGGTATTAAAAAGGACTAGGTGTTTGTGCGGAAGATTTGAGAAGTTGATAGAAGGTTGGTTTCTACTTTCTAGAACTTCGTAGAGAGGTGGTAAGTCAGGCGGGGCACCTAGAGATTTCGAAAAGAACCGACAAGCAAATTAGTCGTTCGCTTTTACCTTGTGTTTATCTAGCGTCTTGTTTAGTCTTTTTCGTTAATAAAAAAAAAAAAAAAAAAAAAAAAAGACAAAACTTCAAAATGGTCCCTATGGTTTCTGAAAATCTGAAGTTTAGTCCTTAATTTACAAACCTCACGGATTGTCCCTGTGGTTTCAAAACTTTTAACGTATGGTCCTTTTCGCTAACTCCGTTAGCTTTTGGCCGTTAAATAATGAGCATTTATGTCATTTCACTATCAGATGGACCATTTATGAAGTTTTTCCTTATTTAAAAAAATAAATATGATTATTTAATATTAAAGGTCTCTCTCTCTCTCAAAAAAAAAAAAAAAAAAAAACCCACCCATCTTTGTTACAGAATCCGATTTTCAATCCCTCCAATCATTCAAACAAGAATTCATTGACCCAAATGGGTTCTTGAAAAGCTGGAACGATAGTGGATATGGAGCTTATTCTGGAAGTTTGAAAGGAATCAAATGTGCTCAAGGTCAAGTATCGTGATTCAACTTCCATGGCAAGGATTAGGTGGTCGAATCACACCGAAAATTGGTCTGTTTCAAGTTCTCAGAAAGCTTAGCCTCCATGATAATGCCATTGAAGGTTCGATTCCGAAGGAATTAGGGTTCCTTCCGATTCTCAGAGGACTTCGATTGTTTAACAACAGGTTCACTGGTTCGATTCCTCCCGTATTGGTTTCATGTCCATTGCTTCAAACTATTGATTTGAGTAATAATTCTTTGGTGGGTGTAATCCCAGAAAGTCTTGCTAATTGTTCTAAGCTTTATAAGGTCAATTTTACTTTGAATTCTTTAACCGGTTCAATCCCTGTTGTCACACCCCCGGACCAGACGGCGGAAACGTCCGGAGGCGGGTGACTTCATTGTGCAGTATCATAAC